GGATTGGGTTGTAATAACATTATCATATTAATACCATGGTAGAGCGGAGGTAGTAAAGTGGCAAGTGGCGTAATTTTCCTTGGCGTGGTGTGGGGTCACCTCCTGAATTGCTCCCGCTCGGCCCAGCTGAGCTAGCCATCCTTCTGGGGCTAGCTAAGAGGTACCAGGCTCATCAGAAAGCATAAAACTACACTGAAACTGAGTCTTCCAGCGGCTGCCTATCAAAAGTAATTGCATAAGCCATAGCAGATCCGGGCGCCGTACTCGTCACCTTGCCATCGTATTTAATGCCTCTAAGCAGATATTTTAGAGTGGCTAAGGGGCGGTGGAGGCGTAGGTGGTGCAGCGGCAAGTAGTGCGGCACGCTTACCGCTCGCGCGGTGCAGGGGTGAAATTCCGGCTCGGCTCTCGCTCAGACCAAGCAAGTTCACTACTCTTTGCAGACCCAATGAAGGGGTTGATCAACGCTGAGAACATTATGCCTTCATCCTTCTCAAGGACCGATGCTTATCGTTTGCCTGGCTCATCGAATAAAATACGGCCCTTTGCAGTGATGGAACCTCCCTCGCCACCATCCTCTGCTGATGCTGTTGAACGAGTAGCCAGTGAAGTCGTGTCGGAAGCGATTGACGAACTATTTTCGTAGTGTTTAAACCGCCTTCAATTGTCCCAGTGTTTTCACAGGAAATCTCGTCAATATCAACTATTGAAGTTTATACTGTTCTAAATTAGAGGATTTTTTGTATCAATTATATTAGTTTCATTTGATTAGTTAAATTATTGTCGTATTTACGATTATTATATCTGTGCCGTAGTTCTCGATAGACACGTTGCCGCTGTGTGCTTTGTCCGTCAGACTTGCCCTCTGTGATATGAACATAGTACATGCTTTGAGTAAGCGTTTTTTTTTTTCTGGCCGTTGTGGTGGCTGCTTACTGGTATATACATACATAACCATATAATATGCGTTGTTGTGTGTGTGAGTGTGTGCTTCTAAATACGCCCAATTTATGTAATCCCTATGCTCTCAGCCTCTATTGCTACTTTTCATGTACTTCTTAAACTTTCGGGCATAGTTTTTAGTCCATCAAAGGTTAACGCTAGGTCTCCCTATCAATAATGTTTTCTGCTTTCAAAGTGCTTCTAATTCGTCTAACATTGGTGTGTAATTATTATAGAAGTGTTAACTGTTCTCAACTTGTATATGCACTGCGCAATATATGTTATTCAATGAAGTATTCCTATTTGTTCGTGGTATTCTATGTTCACGCTAGAAAGTCTGCGTGCACTTTCTTCCAAAGGACTACTGTTCTGAAACTTTAATTCATCCTCTTGAGTCTGTTGAAGCTGATGAAGCGTAAGGCGTCATCCTTGCTTGAGTCCATCGCTCACGTTATTTGCCATATCGCTATGAGAAGCTTTCCGTTTAAAAGGCACAGTTCGCGACCGCAAATTGCGGGAAACGGAACTCAAATAGGCACAAAAAAGTGCTAAGTATCTGATTAGCGGAGAAAAGCAGCAAAAAAAGCAGCAGAAAAAGCAGTCCGAAATGTTATAGAGAAAGATAACATAGTGGCTACTAGCTAGTAGCTAGCAGCCGGTGAGGGTCGGCATGGGCCTAAGGGGTGTCCATGGGCCTAATTAGTCAGCTTCTAGCGGAGTTCTTGCCGTTTTTCACATTTTGAAAGTAGCGCAGCCTCAAAAATCGCCTTCCGGATCGTCCGACACATTTGAGAGGTCATAGCCTTATTTTATCGCGGAATGTGCCTTTAAGACAGCCCCGCACTCAAGGCAGTTCATGGTCGTCCCTGCTTTGTGCAAGTTAGTCACAACTCGCCAGAATAAAAGAATGTCGCTTCTTCCGCGCTACAGCCGCCGAAAGTTCTAGTTCTAACACCCGCTTACAAGGGAAGGATGGTAGGTCTGAGTGGACATTTGAAAAGAAACGTATGCCGGTTGAAGGTCTTCGGAATACGACACGCCGACGAAATTAAGCGGCGAAGGGATGCGCATCGCAACGGCGTGGCCGAGTGATTATGTCGTGGAGCTCGCGGATGCACGGTTGAGGGTTTGGATCCTTCATGCATGTCCTCTTGCATTTTTCCATGAACCAAGAACCAAACCCGCAACCACGCACCAGCCGCCGGTCGCGTGCGACATAAGCCACTCGGCCACGCTGCTACGACGCGCATCACCCTTACGGGCCGTTAATTCCGTACTGAATGCGATATTTGTATGGCTCGCCTAAAAAGTCCGTTACCATTTTTTGCTGGGAGGCCCGCAGCAAGATATGGCAAGACGGTATGCGTAATCTGCCGTACTTGAAGAGATTTTCAGTCGCTTATATACATTTCATTCAAATGGCGTCTTCGACCTACCATCCTTCCCTTGTCAGTTGAACCGCCCATTTGCTAGATTTCCTCTCCACATCTGGCGCAGGGCCGCTCAGTTGTTCTTTGCTGGGGCGGCGGGCATTAATCGGAATTGCGTGTCCGTTTTTGCTGAACGCGCTCGTGCTCCTAAGTAATTCTGCTCTCCTTTATTACATTTTATTCATTAGGAGGCAGCATTCACACAGCCAACTGACTCCGATATCTGCAAGGTAAAAAAACGCGTTGAAAATCCCATGATTCAATTCTTAGGTGCAAAGCTCGACTGCAATAAAGAGGTTGCGCGCTACCGTAATCCAAATTCGTTCGTTACAGAGGCTTTTGAAAAGGGCTTTTTTTGTACGGAGTTTTCCGTGCGGTGTTTTCTGTTTTTCATATTATTGCGGTGTTCTTGGCGACTCTCCTTTGCTTTTTTTCTTCTTTGGGGACTTACTTATCAGCTTGGCTGGCTTCAATAATTGAAGCAGCGCAACTAATCATGGCTCTATAATCAAACTTTCTCTCAAAACTAATTTTATCCAGGAGTCCTCATACCGTGTGGGGGGAAAATGGGTCAGCAGCTGCAGTAGCGTGCCACTTCCCCTGGTCAAAGGAGCACATGGACAGGGCGGGTAGTGATGGCCAATTCCGCCAACTCTGCAGCGCGGCGCAACCAGATGCAAGAAGCGTCCGCACGATTAGTGGACAGTTTCTCGCTGAGGCTCTCAGCCTCCATTAGCCTTTTAGAACTACTTCACGCCCTTTGGAATTGTGATCGACTTTCGAGAGTCGCCTAAGTGCGAACGCATCTTTTTGTCCTCTGAATCCTGTCTAGCCCCAGTGAACAGAGCCGGTAGTGATAAAAGACATGGTAACCCAGGCCGGGGCAAACCCATGGTTTGACTATGGTACCACCACACTGGCTCAGCTCGGTGTTCTCGACGGTCAGTGGATAGTCAGTGGAGGGGCAGAGTACTTTCCCCTACGCTGAGACGGGCCCGCCACACTGATGCGTTACGGTAGGCATATTTCTATTTGAGATAACTACCTCTGTTCTTAAGTTCCCAGATCTGTCATCTTGCCTCTATGATGCTACTACGATCAAAAGGAAAAAAGAACGCTGAAAGCTTCAGTACTGTTATACTTGTAATTAATTTCTGTTTTAAATTGTATAACTTGACGATTTAGTTCTTGGTTGGTTTACTTTAACAAATTGCAGACCGCCGTACTGCGCCCACATCCGGATCATTTTATGATATTTAATCAGTAATTCATGAAAACTTTCCAACTCTTTTCAATCGCTTATGAGGGATGTTCCGTCACCGAGGACATGTTTTGACAACATTAGAACATGAAAGAAAAGCCAAATCATTCTGATAAAATACCGCCTAAAGACGAAATTATGACACACCATGTGTGTCATGCTCTCCGCGACGTGTTAAACACTCGCTTTCCACGAATCTCGCTCATCGTCTGAAAATCTTCTCACTCCGTAACTAACTCTCAAACGAATTGTTTATCTGTAATCACGAGCAAACTGGGTGTCGGAAATGTCCTAAATGCGATCGTAGACGACATCGCGAGGAGGTCAAAAGTCATTGGGGGCGGATTGTCGGCTGTCTAGTAAAAAAGACTAGCTATGCTGCTGATGAGATCTCGCCACCCTCCCGTCTCGCTGTGGCGTGGTCCTTGGAGAATTCCTACCCTACGCGCACGGCATGCTAGAATGTCCTCATTTTTGGGAAGATGCCAGTCATTGTTGCACTAATAGCGTGACGATCTATTATTTTGCGTTTTCCAAGGCTCATAGGTATGCTTGAGGTTCAAAGCCCCATTGCAGGGCTATATATTACCCAGTTTCCTCAGTAATTCAGTTTTTTCTTCTTTCACCATGAATTGATTCCCATGTAACAGATGGGTCGTCATTTATCAAGTATGCAATTTAATCGAGGTGCCTTGTCTACTGTAGGTCATTTGTCAGTGTCTGCTCCGTTCTCTCCACTGCTTGCTCTACGCAGTCCAGTCCCTTGAAATCGCTCTGGGGCTTTTTTCGTGATAAGAGGGCACCCTTCTTCTCTAATACATTGTCTACCTGTCCATGATGGGCTGTCAGGCACCCTAACAGGGGATGAG